CTTCTTTGTTTTTCAAATCTTTGACTTGATTCTTATGTTTCTCTAGTCTGGTGTTGGATATCTGTATATTATTTTTATTTCAGTCAGTGTATGCTTAATTTCTAGTTGCTCATTTTTCATATCCTCGAGGTTCTCGCTACAGTTAGCTGGTTGTAACTATGGCACACAAATTCCCAGTATAGCTAGGGGTTACTGAGCTCTGTGCTGTGTGAAGTCACACAATAAACATCTGGTTTGGCTACTAGCCAGGACAGTCTTCATCCCTCTACCTATACACACACTGATTGTGAACATATGGCCCCCAATGAGGTTGGGCTTTCCAAAAGGCCTAAAGAGTCATCTGCCTTCTGGCCTGGGGCCTGCCACCAGGGCCCCCTTGCCCCAATCATGAATTGACTTATATGAGACCAATCAGCCCTTGTCAAGGACCGTGCCCTGTCCCCGACCCAAACCATGAATACCAAACACACACACACACACACACACACACACACACACACTGTCTCATGGGAGGCTTTGACAGTAGGCTGCCTGGGTTCCCATCCAGCCCCATCCCTGTTAAGTTGTGATTTTTACTTCTCTGAGCCTTATTTTCCACCTTTACGAAGAAGAATATAATGACACCTTCTTCATAGGCTTGATGAGAGGCTCAAATGGGATTATCTGAGACTATGACTCAGAAGTTCTAAGTGCTGAAAAGATGTGAATTCTACCTTGATCTCTGTCTCCCCTCCATATTCAATGCTATCATTAGGTAACTCAGGGAAAATTTATATCAAACTGTAAAAAGGGGAAGAAAGTTTGACCAAGTTTGGATTTTTCCTGTGATGGCTACTTTGTAGAATTCTTGGAAATACCAATTATCATATTCTTTTCCCAGAAAGTTTTGTTGTTGTTCCAGCTTTCTAAATGCCCTAAGCATTTTAAAATAAGTTTTTATTGGTTTCAGAGAAGAAATGAGAGGGAGTGAGAGATAGAAATATCAATTATAAGAGAGAATTATTGATCAGCTGCCTCCTGCACGCCACTAGGGATTGAGCCTGCAACTTGGCATAACCGACTCATGGGTAGATGCTCAACTACTGAGCAACACCAGCCAGGCATGTCATAAGCATTTTTTATTGAACAATTTGGCTCTGGAGAATATGGATTTGGAAACTGTAATGAGTCAGACACATTTTCGTTGGCCAGAATCAGCTAACACTCAATAGAGGTTTCTACCTGCCAGGGAATGTTCTAATTTATTTTATCCTTGCAACAAACCCTGTGAGGTTGTTACAACTATTGTCCCCTAAGAATTGGGAAGCTAAGAATTGGGAAGGAAGGTGAATTGATTTGCCTAGTGAATGTTGGTGGAGATTTTTAACACAGGCAGTCTTGCTGCAAAGGTCATATGCTTAATTGCTGTACTATACTGTCTCTTGTCACACATGTGAGAGCTTTGTATCCTAAGGACTGACTGGGATGCATTAAGAGAGTGGGATTAACTTTAGATAGCCTTTCCCATGGCTGTAGACCTAGGCCCAAGCCCTCATCCTCACTGCAAAAATATACTAGTGCTCAAACTGGCATTGGTTCTGTTTGGGGAGGCATCTGTAAGTGAGAGGTTTGAACTAAATACCTTCCAAAGGTCCTTTCAATTCAAGGAGTTGAAGGGTCAGCTCTGTATCAGGTTTGCCAGCTGACTCCTCCCATAGGAAGAAGCAGACCTTTTGCAGTGCCTAACAGATCTTTTTTACCTTCAGAGATGTGCACCTGCCCGTGCCTTTCTCATTAGACACATCTGGGAGACCTCATTCTTTTATGGCTGGAATCAGCTTCTTTATCCTGATGACTGGTCCAGACTTCCTCTTAGAGCTCTAGAAACATCTCTTCCGCTATCTCCCAGAGCTCTTATCCTTAGTGTCTCTCATGGACCTTGAACTCCACCTGCGCTGTGAATTCAATGGATGTCAGAACGAACCTCTTTCTCCTTCCATGTTTCTCCTCTCAAGGAATGGCTCTGCTATTTATCCATATGCTTAAGCCTGAACCCCAGGAGTTATCCTTAAGTTTTCCTTGCCCTCACTCCCACATCCCATCATGCACCAGGGCCTGTAAATGTGACCTTCTACATATCTCATAAATCCACTCTTTATACCTCTACTACCCCCTCTCTAGTTTAAGTCACCACCACCATCTAATGAAATAAAAAGCAAAAGCCTTCCCCTGCCCACTCTGCCTTTTTCTTCTCTTTCTAGTTCATCCTCCACCCCACAGCCAGGGTGTTTAAAAAAAAAAAAAAAAATATATATATATATATATATATATATATATATATATATATATATCTTCCTTGCCCAAAACTCTTTGATGACTTTATTTCTCTTAGGATTAAGTCTAAATTCATATACATATATATATACATACACACACACACACACACACATATATATATATATATATATATATATATATATATATATCTGATGAGGTGTGGTGCTTGTTATTAAGCAAGCCATTTTTCAGGATGGGTTCTGGAGTCTATATCAAACCTAGATCCTGATGCCAGATGGGCCACCAATGTGACTTTTGCTATACTTCTTAATCTTTCTAACCTGCAAATTTCTTTCATTTGTAAAGTAGGTTTGTTGTGAGGGTGAGAGGAGATAGTGTATTGTAGTGTTCTGCAAGGAAGCAGTTGAATCATCCACTGCAAGTTAGATCTTATTATTATAAAGGTTTTTTTTTTTTAACTATATCCAGCTTTATTAAAGATACTTTTCATAAACAATCATGGTATTTCAGGCAGGACATGGGCAGACAATCGTTAATAGTATACAACAATTTTCAAACTCCCTTCTTCAATGAACTACCAAAATCAGAAAGCCACTATAAAATCCAATGAAGTCTTCATCTGATGTTTTGAACAGGGAAAGTTTAGAGTGAGGGTTGACATTTCACATTAAGCATGATGTTTAACAACTTTTCACAAGCTGACCTTGACTTTCAGGAAATGAAATGAAAATGGCAGAGAAGATCAATCTGTAGATCCACAATCTAAAAAGGAACTGCTGCTCTTTTAGGAATGCCATCTCAGTGGTGACACTGGAAAGTCCAGGTTGCCCAACATACTGGAAATCCATTTATTTTGGGTCAGGTCTCAATAGGTCTCTGGGCTTAAGACAGCCAAAGTCTATGCTTAAAGTGGAGAAGGAGAAAAGGACATAAAAATGAATTTTAGTTTTTCCACATGACGAAATGTTTGTGCCAAGATGGCTAATGTGTGTCAACATCAAGAGATCCCTCTTCCCAGGAACCAAGAGGAAGTTTCTCAAAACTAGAAGGGAAAGGTATTTCCCCCATGTCAGTCCAGCTTTGGAGACATTCTATTATAATAGTACTATATGTCCTTCCCCACAAAATAACAATGAAGTGTTCTGTATGCTAACAACATAGCTTAAAAAAAATAAAACAAAATTCTGCATTTTTATAAAACTTGACAAAAAATAGTATTTCAAACTGCACAGTCACCAGAAATACACAGTTATTAAAAATGCACACACTTCCCTTGGCATCTCCAGCACCTTCAGCTTTCTGTGCCTGGTCTGTTTTGGCATCTCCATTTTCTGCAGGATTATTCCCATCTTTGCCAGCCTCAGCTTTCCCCTTTTTCCCTTTCGGTACCTTCTCTCCCTTCTTTGCAGGAACCTTTTTAGGCTTGGGCTCTGGCTTTGGAGGAGCAGGTTTAGCTGATAACCTGGCAGATCTCTGTGGTTTGTCCTTCACCTTCCTTTATCTCCTTTAGCATTCCCTTCAACCTTTCTCTTGGGCATGATGACGATGGCGGCAGGACATCTGGGTGGGACGCAGGGACACAGCAGCGCGCGGGCCTTGCTAGGTCCCGGGGTTGATCTCGTCTCCTCACACTGCTCTATAAAGGTATTGATACCAGCCACATAAATTATTTATTTAATCAACTGATAAATCATTGTGAATAATATTATGGATCTTGTTATATTGTTTTATATGTTATTATATATTTGGACTTTATGATTATCACTTCAACCTCACCTGTCACAACCCTCCCCATCTGACTTCCCTTGCCTTTATTACTACACACTCTTGCCCCCCACCCCAGCTTTCTTACTCTCTGTTCCTGGAAAGTTTTTCTGTCTCATCCATTGATTTCTCTAGCCCCTTTTTGTACTGCGAATTCCCTTTCATTATGGGCTCAGACATCAATTCCTCTGGAAAACCTTTCAAACCGTCTCCCAGATCAATGTAGGTATCTCTTCTATAGGCCCCCAGAGCACCTTGTGCTTCCTTTATAGAGCTTCTATTACACCATATTTGTAATTATTTACTTGTCAGACTCCTGGATTAGGCCATCATCTTGGCAAGGAACTCTGTCTCATTCATCACTTTATTCCCAGCTTTTAGCACTGTTGGGCACATAGTAGTTGGCCAATAAATGTTTGCCGAGTGAACAAGAGACTAGCCTGGCAGCAATCCTCTCCACCAATCCCCCACCCTCTAAGCTAAACCTCTTCAAAACTAAAAGCTACTGAGCACAGACTCAGACTGAACCAAAGCCAGAAGATTGACCACCTGGTCACTGCAAGAACTTTCTATCATTGCCTTAGAGATATTTCTGTCTTTGGTTTCACAACACCCTCACTCTGTGTGGGCTTAGTGAAGGTGTGTGCATTGTGGGTGGGGAGATAGGGCATGTTGATTCACTTCCCTGAACTTCATTTTTGTCTTCTGTAAAGGGCCAAATAAGACCCACTTGGCGGAGTCACCATGAAGAGTCACTAATGTGGCACACGGAGATGCTTTGTAAACTTCAAAGGTCTGCATGTCGCACCTGATGATGATCAAACGTGGAAAATGTGTTGCTCTTTGGCTCAGTTCTTTCCAAGACCCCATATAGATAAGGGCCCTGCTGCTTATACAGCATTATCTCTAGAAATCTGGTTACAATTGATTGACATTATCACTTTCTTGATATTTGGCAGATTCCCAGCCTGTGGCAATATGCTGGTTACCATAGAGACCCGAGAAGCACACTTGTCCATTGGTACTATATTTACAAACCAACACTTAAAGTGGATTACTTAGCAGATGGCTGATCTCATCCATTTAGTGTTGATTTTATTAGCTCCAATTTCAGAAGGTGACATTTTCTGACCTTGTCCCCTTAAGCAAAAGCAAAAGCTATAGTTTTGGGGGGGGAGGGAGTGAAAAAGTACAAGAAGACATGTGGAGAGGAGGTTTTGTAAGGGAACTGCAGGCTATACTTCTCATTTATTCATTTATTCATTTGTTTAGCATCCACAATGTGCCAGTAACTGGGCTAGCTATAGTGGCGATCAAGATTAGCCATATGAGCCTCATACTCTTTTGGGGAAGACAGACAATTAAATAGACAATTTTAATACAGTTCAGAAAAATCTATGATGGAAAAACAAGGAAATGATGTGCTATTGGCCCCTAACCTTCCCAGAGGTTTCTCAAAGAAAGCAACAACTTAGCTGAGACTTAAAGGATGGGTGAGAGTCAGATAGAAAAAAGGTAGGGAAGGGGTTAAGCAGGGGATGGAGTGGAAAAAAGTGTCTGGAAGAAAATAGTATATGAAGAGAAATGGGAACAGAGTAAATATGAGGACATAAAAGAAAATTAGAGAGGAGAGGAAGGGAGTGGAAAATGATGAGCTCTATTTGGGACATGCTGAATTTGACATGTCTGGGGACCATCCAAGAGATGTCCAGGTAACTATGTGGGTCTGACACCCCAGAAAGAGGTCCTGGCAAACAGAGACCTGGAGTTGGGGGCTGCTGTGTTGTCCTTCTATTGAGAGTATGGCTTAGTATCGCACTGGGGAGAGCTTGCAGGCTAGCAGAGGAATTTGGACCTGATTCTACGGACAGTGCATTTGAAGACATGTTGGAGACATGACACAATTTGAGTTGGGTTCTAGGGATTGGGCTGCAGTGTATAGAGGGGAGACTTGGGTGGGAGTGTGCTGGAACTGGCTTATACCAGCTCATGGGAACCAATTGTTAACTTTTCAGGAATATTTTGAGCCACTTGTTCAAATCAGCCATTATTAAATATATAAGCTATATAAATATTTAAATTATTTAAAGAATAACAATAGACTTAAAATTAAGTAAATTATATTAAATACAAAGGTAATAAGTAAATACTAAAAACTCATCGCTCTGTGCTCTTCCCAGCTCCCTGTTTAGTGACCTCATGGCAGTAGCTTGCAATGGGCCATGGGAATTGGTAAACACTACAAATAAGCACTTGATGATTTTGTTGATTGTTTACAATCAAGGAAGTGGTGGAGAAAATATTCTTAGAATTGTCTTACAACCATTACATTGTGAGTACCCTGTTTCCCTGAAAATAAGACAGTGTCTTATATTAATTTTTGCTCCCAAAGATGCACTAGGTCTTATTTTCAAGGGATGTCTTATTTTTCCATGAAGAAGAATACGGTACACATTTATTAAGTGAAAATAAAAGAAATGTATTACCTGTATACGGTACGGTAGTACGGTAGTTGTCAACACAAACCAGACAAACTGTGAATCCTACAGTATCAAGAATTTACTCATTTATTCAGTGACAATCATGTCATCATCTTCTGGAACATCATCATAACAATCCAATTCCTGAATTTCCTGGTGAATTTCTTGTGACTCCATTTCTTTCAGAATCAGTGGACCAAATCTCTCATGTTTAGCCTATGGGGGGCCTTATTTTTGGGAAGATGCCTTATATTTAACTCAGAAGGAAACCTGTAAGTAGGTCTTATTTTCGGAGGATGTCTTATTTTCTGTGAAACACAGTAGTACAAAAAATTAAGGAAATATTCTCTCAGTATTAAAAAACTATTATCCAGCCGAAAACAGTTTGGCTCAGTGGATGGAGCATCATTCTGCTGACTGAAGGATCCCAGATTCCATTCCAGTCAAGGGCATGTACATTGGCTGTGGGCACATCCCCGGTGGGGGATGTGCAGGAGGTGGCTGGTTGATGTTTCTCTCTCATCGATGTTTCTGGCTCTCTGTCCTTCTCCCTTCCTCTCCGTAAAAAAATCAATAAAATATATAAAAAATAAAGATAAAAAACTATTATCTGACTCAGCAAAATAGTTGCTCAAATCATTGATAAACAGGTAAAGTTCTAACATACAGCCTTATTTCACTTTTGCCCTATTTATTACCGCAAACAAAAATATCAATGAACACTCTTGTCAGAACTATCTAACCATAGGATACAAAAAGTTGGCAAAAATCAATAAAAGCATTCTGTGACAATCAATTGGCTATATGGAATTCACAGTAAAGAGTATTGCCTACTTTATTATTATTTATAAATTGTGTTATATATCCTTATATCAGAATTTATACTAAACCTACACACACACACACACACACACACACTTTTTCCCATGGAGCTAGTTGTTACCATTTATCAGCACATTACTGATTACACATGTTCACCACTGCTGGAAAAGCTAAGGAAAATACATGAGCATATCCCTAGAAAAGTCCCGGGACTAAACTGAAAAGCTGTTGGCTCTTGGGAAGTTTCTGCTTTCTGTTGTTGTTGTCACTATTATTATTATTATGCTGTTGGTTTTCTCCTGGGAACATTATTTGTTATTATTTGTTGTTCAAACAGTACAACATTCTCAGAAGTAAGAATGGTAGAGAAAATCAGTCCACAAACTCCTGCCTCCGCAGAGCAAAACTTTTCATTTTTCATTCTCTCTTTGGGCTTTAGGATTGACCTTTGGATCTGGGGAATTTTTCAGGCCCAACAACCTGGGGCAGATGAATAGATTCCCCTGATTCAGGATGGAAAGGTCATACCTGAAAAGATAGCATCTTTCCTGGGATCTATTTTATACCCAAGTAACATGGAAATTAACTCCGTAGGTGGAGCATCTTGGAGCCAGCACTTGCCATCTCTTGGCATTAGGAAAATTAAGTTCATGCCTGCAACTTACTTTCAAAGGGTTCAGAAAAATAGGTGTGTGTGTTCATGTCTACATCCTATATAATAAAGAGGAAATATGCAAAATGACCATCACTCTGTGGCCACCCCCATGTGGACACAAGATGGCCACCACAAGATGGCCAGCAGGGGAGGGTATTTGGGGGTGACCAGATCTGCAGGTCAGGACAGTTGGGGCCAACCAGGCTGGCAGGGGAGGGCAATTAGGGGCAACTGGGCCTGCAGGGGAGGGCAGTTGGGGGGAACCAGGCCTGCAGGGGAGGGCAGTTGGGGGTGATGGGGCCTGCAGGGGAAGGCAGTTGGGAGGGGGACCAGGCCTGCAGGGGAGAACAGTTGGGGGCAACTATGTCTGCAGAGGAAGGCAGTTAGGGGCGGACTGGGCCTGCAGGGGAGGGCAGTTGGAGGCGACCAGGCTGTCAGGGAAGGATAGTTAGAGGCAACCAGGTTGGCAAGGGAGGGCAGTTAGGTGCAACCAAGCTGGCAAGGGAGGGAATGTGGGGGAGGGGGAACCAGGCCTGCAGGGGAGGGCAGTTAGGGGCAAGTGGCCTGCAAGGGAGGACAGTTGGGGGTGACCAGGCTGGCAAGGGAGGGCAGTTAGGGCTGGCAGGGGAGTGGTTCAAGGGTGATCAGGCTGGCAGGTAGGCAAGTGGTTGTTAGCCAGCAGGGATCAGGCCTAAATGGGCAGTCGGACATCCCTTGAGGGGTCCCAGATTGGAGTTGCAGGCTGGGGTGAGGGACATCTCCCCTTCTATCCCCCATGCACAAATTTTGTGCACTGGGCCTCCAGTAGAGAAATAAAGCCATTATGGAATCTGGCTGATGTCTACATAGGTGTTCATCATTCTACTCTTTTGACTTTTCCATATACTTGAGAAAATTCATACTGTAAACTACATGTATTACAAAAGGAGTCAGTGCAAGGTGCTTAGACAGGAGAGTACCTCTCATGTTCAAGAAACAGCAGAAGGCCAGTGTGGCTGGAACAGATTGAGCTGGAGTAAAGTAGTAATAGATTAGGTCAGAGGCCAGATTGTGAGGGCCTCATAGGGCCTTGTGATAACTGTGGGTTTTAGTCTGTGAGACAGGAGCTATCAGGGGCTCTATGTTGTGACTTGACCTGACTTACACACTTTAAACAGGCTGCCTCTGGCTGTTGGGTTGAGTCTGTATTGGGGCAAGGATGATAGCCAGATCAGCCAGGGGCAATGCTCTAATCCTGCAATTTTCAACCGGTGTGCCACAATAATTTTTAAAACATGCAACACCTGACTATTTAGTCAGGGTCACTAATCTCTTTTCCCTTAGGTTGTCAAATAAGAAAATGACAGCAGCCACCATAACAATGGTTGTCGAGGGCGGCGGCACTGACCGCGCCGCGCTGCGGCGGGGCTGGCTGGCCTGAGGCTGCGGGGTCGGCGGGGCACGGCGGGGGCCCGGCATGGCGGTGCCCGCGGCGGCCATGGGGCCCTCGGCGCTGGGCCCGGGCGGCCCCGGCTCGCTGGCCCACTGGAGCGCCATGAGCGGCGGCCCCACGCGCTACGTGCTGGGCATGCAGGAGCTGTTCCGCGGCCACAGCAAGACGCGCGAGTTCCGGGCGCACAGCGCCAAGGTGCACTCGGTGGCCTGGAGCTGCGATGGCCGCCGCCTGGCCTCGGGCTCCTTCGACAAGACGGCCAGCGTCTTCTTGCTGGAGAAGGACTGGCTGGTCAAAGAAAACAATTACCGCGGACATGGCGATAGCGTGGACCAGCTGTGCTGGCATCCAAGTAACCCTGACCTCTTCGTCACGGCGTCTGGAGACAAAACCATCGGCATCTGGGATGTGAGGACCACCAAGTGCATCGCTACTGTGAACACGAAAGGGGAGAACATTAACATCTGTTGGAGTCCCGATGGGCAGACCATCGCCGTGGGCAACAAGGACGATGTGGTGACCTTTATCGACGCCAAGACACACCGTTCGAAAGCGGAGGAGCAGTTCAAGTTCGAGGTCAATGAAATCTCCTGGAACAACGACAATAACATGTTCTTCCTGACGAATGGCAATGGTTGCATCAACATCCTCAGCTACCC